ACACAGAAGAAGGCAGAGCATTCCACAGTTTGGCTGTGTGAGGAAAGAAGGAGGTACTATAACGGGTTATTCTCGTGTGACCGACATCCACAGAGAAACGGTGGGCACCTCAGGCAAGACGTGTGTTACGAGCCCACGGCCTTGCTGGCGGTACACAGGATGCCAAATCCACCGAACATTGCCCGTTAAAGTACCTGTAAAAGAGAGAGAGTGAAGCAACATTCCGGCAAAGAGAAAGGGAAGGGAGATTGTCGACTAAAGGAGGAGAGTTAATAAGACGAAGTGCCTCTGATTCCACCCTATCTAGCAGTTAGACAGAAGAAGAGCCACCCCAGATATGAGAGCAGTACAACAAGTTAGGATGAATGAATCCCTTATATACTTGGAGCAACTGCTCAGGAGTGAAATAGCTACGGCATCTGTACAGCATTCCCAACTTTCTTTAGGCAGCTTTACCTATATTAAGGATGTGTGATTTCCAGGACATATTGGAGGAAATGGTGAGGCCTAACATATTTATTTCAGAATTTGGCAGGATAATAGTGCCCTGAAATGTAATTGGTGGGAAATCTTCTAATTTAGAAAGTGTTATTGGTAAAAATTGAGTTTTATTACTATTAAATTTCACCAAGTTTGTACCTCCCCATTCAGAGATGCTGCACAGATCCGCATTGATAGATGTAATGATATCAGCTCTAGAAACAGATCTAGTTTGAGAGTTAGGAGGAAGGGGAAATGGATAGAATTAGTAGTAGTGTGAAGTAAATCATTGATAAAAAGAAGGATGAGAGTAGGTGAAAGAACAGAACCCTGTGGGCCACCACTATTGGTAGAAAAGAGCGAGAGATCGATCCCTCAACAACAACTACCATGGATCGGTTCTCAAGGAAGCTAGAGATTAGAAAAAGAGTGGGGGAGAGAAACCAAAAGAGGGAAGTTTAGATAGCAAAGATTTGTGCCATACCCTGTCAAATGCTTTGGAGATGTCGAGGGCCACGACGAAAGTTTCCCCATAATCCCTAAGAGAGGATGACCAAAGATGGGTGCAATAGGAGAGCAGATCACCAGTAGATCTCGCCTGGCGAAAGTCATACTGGTAATCCGACAAAAGAGAAAGGCATTCAAGGTGACGGAGAAAATGGGAGTTCAAGATAGTTTCGAAAATCTTAGAGAGGGATGAAGTTAGGGCAATGGGGCGATAGTTAGAGGGATTAGAATGGTCACCCTTCTTCGGGATGGGCTGAACCAAGGCATGCTTCCAAGAAGAAGGAAAAGATTGGGTTTTGAGGCAGAGGCATAAGAAGCGAGCAAGCATAGGGGCCAGAGCTTCAGTACACTCCTTCAGAACAAGAGGGGGTATTCCGTCTGCCTTACTCACATCCAACCTGGATAACACACCGACAAGCCTGCGAGTGGAGATTATAGGAAAGTGCATAGGTTCAGTAGGAGGTGCAGGGGTAGGAGGGATAGAGTAGGAATCATCTAAGGTAGAGTTAGAGGAGAATAAGGTGCCAAAGAGATTGGCTTTGTCAGGGGAAGAGTTGGCTATAGAGTTATCATGTTGGAAGAGAGGAGGAAAAGAAGGAGTGCAGAAGTTGTTAAAGATGTTTGTGGTTAAGGACCAGAAGGATTTACTAGAGGAAGAATTAGTCTTTCTTATTGTTAAATTCCATTTGGCTATACAAAGAATTGCCTTACAACGATTCCTAGAAGTAATGAAAGAGGAGTGGGTAATAGGAGAAGGAGGTAGTTTCATAGCTCATTATGCCCTATCTCTCACCCTGCAAGCAAGAGAGCAGGAGCGATCAAACCATGATTGTACAGTGATCCCTCGGTTAACGAAATTTCGGTTAACGAAATTTCGGTTAACGAATCACCTTTCATAAGATTCTTCACTTCGGTTAACGAGCAAACCCTCTGTTCACGAATTCTTTATGAATTTCCCCAACATGTTTTCGCCTGCTCACCAGCTGTAGTATTAGTCCGCCAATACAGTAATCGGTTTTAGGGCTTAAATTCGTTACCATTTGAGTAAATATCAAGAAGGTTGTAACTATTCAATAATTTTCCAAGTCTTATATTAAAGTTTTTAGTAATTTTAACAATTATTTAACATAATTGAAGTACAGGGAACTAGCCACTCAACACACCCAAAATGGCGTCAGTGTGTGTCCCTGCTCAGAGGAGGAAGCATCTTGCTTCAGACTCTCTTGAACATAAACTATTTTTACGTTTGTACAGTACAATTATTGGTCTTTCTGAAGTTTATTTTACATATTGATAATATATAATGCAGTGCAGTGTTGATTTAAAGAAAATAATCTTGAATTACACCAAGTGAACTAAAATTTTATTGGTGAAATGGCAGCATGGGGTGACTTCTCTTCCACCCCAATGCCTTCTCTTCTCCCTTCTCCTCCACCCCCATTCTAATTCCCATCATCATCATCAACCAGGAGCCTTCTACATGCACACCTCAAAGTAAGTGTACTTTATTGCATTTATTTTTAGTTTGTATGTAATTTTCGGTGAGCTGGAACCAATTACCCCGAGTGGAAAAGCAACATTCATTCCAAGGAAAGTCGGTGAAGAATTCTCGCAAGGATTGCCACCTTACCCTCCGATAGTGTCATAGTTGACGTTTAGAGGGGGGTAGGGGAGGTGGTCGTGCCCAGTTTGATTTAATAGAAATAAGGTTGAGGTCAGAAGACCCTAAGGGGGCAGAAATTGAGTATGAATAGTGTGAGGGGTTAGAGGTAAAACAAAGATCAAGAATGTAGCAAGTTGATCGTGTCGATCAGGAATTTGTGTAGGGTGTTTGATTATATTTGTTCCAAATCATTAAGTAGAGAAAAAGTGCCTCAGCTCCACCTGGGTCATCCCCTGCAGCGCCAAGCCACTCTCTGTGATGTACATTGAAGTCCCCTAGGTAGAGGATCTCGGTGTTGGGGTGTTTGGATAGCAACGACTCATGGCAAGAAGTGAGATAGTCAAGAGTTCGAAATAGTTGGTAGAGTTAGGAGAACATTACTGGAAATACAGAAAAATATTCACAGTAGGTAGAGATATTTTGAGCCAGATGACATTATAAAGGGAAGATTCAAGATCCGTGAGTCGAGCTATAGGTGTACGTGTGTTGCAGTAGGCGCATAGACCTCCCTTAGAATGGAAAGAGGTATAAAGGTTGTAGTTGGAGACTTGAAAAGGTTTGGGTGAAGCTGCTTTGGACAGTTGAAGTTCGCAAAGTAGTAAGAGGTCGGGGGAAGAGGTTAATAGATGGTGCTCCACAGAAGGAAAATTGGATCTCAGGTCGCGAATGTTGGAAAAATAAAGTGTGAAAAAAGCCGATCCTCCAGCAACCGCGGTGGCGTCAGTTGAGGCCCCAGTAACTTGATGATGATCAGGTCGGCCCTGGGGTCCACAACCTTCCCGACCAGTGGGACCCATCCGAGAAGGCCCCGCTTCAATATTAATGTCAACTGACGTAGAAGAATAAATTAGAATGAATAAAACCGATCAAGAATGAGTACGGTTATATTTGTGGTGTTGTTATTAGTAAGAGAGACAGCTGAGACCCTGAAATTGTGTGTAAATGAGGCAGAAAGATAGATCAGCAACCTGGGACTTGGTCACAATTTTCGTAATGCCATATGGCAGCAGGGTTTACCATTAGACAATACATTATACTTCCAATAGCTTCCCAGGCGGTAGTACCTCCCTGTTTGGTAGCTGCCTACTACCTACCTACTTACCACCTTCTCCACCACATCCTCTCCACTGCTACGCACTCAAATGTAGTTTTATAGTGTCTTTATTATTCATATTCTATTCCAACTGTTATGCCGAGGCATAATTTTGTATTATAATTTTGTAAACCTGGCATTTTTATTGTTTTCTGTCCCATGCAACAGTTATTTTGGCAAATTTAGTGAAATTTTCGTGTATATTTTGATGTATTAATTATGTAATAATATTCTAGAATGTATTGTATAATTTTTTGTTATGATTGTAAGCCTCGATCAGAGTAGAACATTCTAGTATCTCCCAGTCATCACTGGGTTATTCTAGGATGTTCGAGAAGCGTCTGACAAGGCTTATATAAGGGGCCGTGGGCTGCCGCATAGTTAGTGAGTCGCTCGCCTCTGTTTCTAGTGTAAAGACTAAGCCTAGCAGAACAACTGAAGGCAATTGTTGCGCAAGAATTGTGGAATTGTTGTCATTAATATAAGGGAATTGTAAACTGGTAGTGTGCTGACTGTGTATTCGAAGTGTAGAAGTCAAGGTGTTAACAGTGTTGTGAAGAGTTAATGTTTATTAAAGGAGACTACAGTGCTCAAGTGTGTTTCTGTGACCTGGTGGAAATCTAGCTGCGAGTTGTTTGTCTGTACACTGATACCGATCATTAGGAAGTTACCGTAGACTGGCGGGTGAGCCAGTGGTAATTCGACAACTCTTGTGAGATCTACTGCTTCAGTACATACAACCGTAGCCGCTGGTAACCAGTGGTGGAAGCTGGGTAAGCAGTGAAAGGAGGGGGGTCGTAACACTATAATTCATTCTTCGGTAATTTGGGGAAACTGCACAACTAGAAGGAGTTGTTCGATTCCTTAAATTTTTTCTATTATTTAATATCTGTACTGTATCCCTTCAACATTATGTTACATAACATTTTAAGATATGGAGTGAGAAAGGTGTGGTGATGTGAGGAACGGGGGAAGCACCCTTGGAGGGAGAAACCGACCCCTATCCCCATAAAGGGTCGCCTCTCACTGTCTCCTGCCTCTCATTTTTTATTCATGATACAATAGTGTTTATTTGTTATTTATTAATTAGTCAAGATACATTATTGTATTAATCTGGCTAATTCATCTTATGGTGGTGTAAAAGAACACTCGAGTTATAACATGTATTGAGATGGCTTATGATATCACACGTCATTAATGGTTAGGAACACTATAAGTGAAAGCACAAAATAAATGCATTTTACTCTATTTTTTCAGGTCCACATACGGTCAGTGCATACTGGAGAACGGCCTTTCAAGTGCAGTGTTTGCAGTAAAAGTTTCTGTGACTCTGCCTTATTAAGGTTACACAATGCTGTTCATACAGGAGAACGTAAATATTCTTGTAAAGTAAGTACTGTACTGTAGATATAAACATCCTTGTGAAATAAAGTAGTATTGAAGTATGAAATCCCATTTTCTCATGGAGGGAGGGAAGCAAGTACAGTAATTATTCTACCTCATTGTGCTCTTCAAAGTAACTAAAGTATAGAATTTAACCCTTTCATTCCTAATCTTGGTCTATTCTTGCATACCCTGGCCTATTTTTTTTGTTTGAAAAAAGTTACATAAATATTAATTAAACAATGTTTAAATCCATAAAACATAAAAGAAAAACTTACATCTTAGTTAACAGCTGAAACTTTTTTGTTTCCTAAGTGGGAAGTTAATTTGGGCTTCTACCTCTTTTTGGTAACTTCTTGTACTGTAAGGTTGGTTATAGAATGAAGCTAAACATCATCATCACCTTACAGAATTCTTCTATATTACTGCACTCTATCAAAATGGCATATATTTCTTCCTGTACTACTGCTCATTTATTTTTGCCCCTGTACCAGATGCTCAGTTATTGCTTTCAGAGCAGCCAGATTTACATTCTGATAAATGTCCTTCCCCCATGGCATTTGTTGGGTAACTGAGCATTGTTGAAATTTCTGAGGGTAAATTACAACTGCTGGTGACACATTGCATCAATATATGGCTCATGGCCACTCCAGAATACAGGCATCCTCTTCCTTCTTATGAAAAGGATGCTTTCTCAAAAAATCGTCAATAACAGTTAAATATAAAAGCAAACCTTTTTAAACACCTGTTAAATGGAAAATTGAATACAGAATTGTATTTCATCCTGCAATATTATACTGTAATAATAAGCAAAACATTTTAATTTAACTCACAAAGAATCAGGAATTTAATACCACACAGTAATCATCTAGAATTGATGTTTGGGATTTTTGGGTGTGAAAATTTATTACTTTAGAATAATGTTTTATTAACCAGGTACCATATGAACCTAAATAATATGGGAATTATGGTGAAAATGCATAATATTGTATTAATGAAGTGTGTGCCTTGCCACCCACAAACACTACACTTACTACTTTTCATTTTTCTTATTTTATAGTTTTATACTGTATTATGTTGCATTTACTTCTAAGTGACATTGGAGAATTGAAGTGATATTCTTATTATATTTCCTTTATTTTCAAGGCAAATTAGAGCAATGGAATGCTATTTCCACAACTTTTATGGCTTCATATATAAACTTCAAGAGAATTACTTGAAATGTACAGTAAAAGAAAAATGAGATACTTTGGTCATATAATTAGGGATGAAGGAATAACATGAATATTAATGGGCAAAGTTGAGGGTAGGAGGGCCAGGGTAAGGCAGAGACTTGGATGGATGAATGAAACTAAAAACTGGGTCCCAGAGTGATACAAAATCTTAGAGGAATGGTAAAACAGCCCAAGAACGTTTAGAGTGGAGGACTGTGGTCACTAACCCTCAGATATGAGGACGGTACTCGTATTGATGTAAATGAACACTGTGGCATTCGGCTGCGAAATATGAATATTTGACTGCAAAACCCCCCCCCCCAGAAGGTGCAGGTGTTGACCATTTTATGATGGGCTTAGGGACCTAAAAAAAAGCATTAAGTGATTGATAATACAGTCATTTCTGCTACAATACGTGTTTTGTCAACGCGAATTGGCTATAACGCGATTGATGAATAGAAGAATGTTACAGTGAACCCTCACTTTACGCGGTTAATTGAACCCACGGCGGCCCGCGTAAAGTGAACAACATAACATATGGGATTAATTGAAATAGAGACCGGGCCGACCCCCAAACTCCACTTTTTCCCAACACAATACGTATGTTTTACTAAAAATAACATCTTAACTTTATGATGGTATTCACACACACATAATATAGAAGGGAACAATCAATAATAGAATAATATACTGAAGGTTAGGTTAGAAAAAAACAAGGATGGGGTTGAACACTTACTTTAATAGAAGAGATGGGTCGGCGTAGGGGAATGGAGGCTGGTTCCGAGGCAGAGGGCAGGCTACTGGCCCTCAGGTGAGTCTTCATCGCTGTGATCCACACTTACTAGTTCCTCCCTGACAAATCCCTCAAAGTCATCATCACTGTCTCTGTCTTTGTCACTATCACTGGCTTGGGCTGGCTGTGGTGGGTTGCGGGCGAAGAACTCTGTTATGCTTTGCTGACGACTGGTGTTTATGTTGTCGTGATAAACCTTGATGTAGGGCTCCGTAGTCTGCAACAGCTGGGTAGTGAAGATTTCATACCTATTAGCGTCAGGGTCGTCGGAAAGGAGGAGCTTGACTTTCTCAATACACTCGATGGCACCCCTTACATTACTATGGGATAACTGGCATTCTTCTTGGGATGACGCACCACCTGCCTCTTCACTGACGTCATCATCATCTACCATCTCGTCGGTAGTCACATCAGGATCCCTTATCACCTCCAGGATGTCGTCGTTGGTGGTGTCGGAGAAGCCTGCAGCTGTAACACTCTGTGCAGCTTCTCTGGCAAGGTCCACTGCTACTGCAACAGTCTGAACCTCACCAGTCACAGATTTACTCTGCCTAACACCCAGAATACCTTGCAACAAATGTCTCCATGCGTGACGAACAGTTGCTACAGACAGCTGATCTCATGCCTCCACTAAGAAGTCCACAGCTTTCTTGACGTTGAATGTTCTCCAAAATTGTCCCACAAGTACTTCTTGCTCTGCCAACTGTTGATCCTCGTCGTCTTCGCTCTTGCTATCGGTGTTGGTGTCACTCAGGTTACGCAACTCTTCCTTGCTGTTGGTGTAGTCGTTCAGGAGCTTGAATTTCTTGGCAGAGAACACAAGAACATAAGAACATAAGAATGGAGGAAACTGCAGCGGGCCTATTGGCCCATACTGGGCAGTCCCGTTTACACCCAACCCCTATTGCTCATATGAGCATCCAACCTATGTTTGAAGCAATTCAGCGTATTCGAGTTAATGATGATATTTGGTAACTTGTTCCATTCATCCACTACTCTGTTTCCAAACCAGTGTTTACCTATTTCACGCCTAAATCTAAATTTGTCTAATTTAAAACCATTGTTACGAGTTCGCTCCTGGTTGGATAGTTTGAGTACCTTTGTAATGTCCCCTTTGTTTAGCCCTGCTTCCACTTATACACCTCTATCAGGTCGCCCCTCGCTCTACGTCTCTCGAAGGGTGCAAATTAAGATGCTTTAACCTGTCTCTATACTCAAGGTTCCTGATGCCCGGGATTAGTCTTGTCATTCTCCTCTGAATTCTTTCCAAGGATTCTATATCCATTCTGTAATACGATGACCAGAACTGAACTGCGTAATCCAGGTGTGGTCTCACAAGAGCAAGATACAGTTTTAGGATGACCTCGCTAGTCTTGTAACTAACACTCCTTTGTATGAACCCAAGTACTTTATTAGCCTTGTTACGAGTAAAAACACATTGTTTACTTGGCTTAAGGTTCCTACTTATCATTACTCCTAAATCTCTCTCGCAGTCGGATTTCTCTATGGCATCGTTGTTCATCTGTTATCTGGTTTCCGTTTACATCTCCTATACCACAGTAATTTTTACATTTGTCGATTGAATTTCATCTGCCATTTTTTCAGACCATTCGGTAATTTCTGTTGGTAGATCTTCCTGTGGTTTTCCGGTCCTCGCCAGATTTGATAACACGCCCTATTTTAGTGTCACTGTAGCAACTTTACTTATGTTGCCGTCTGCGCCGATATCTGCCGTTTGCGTATATATTAAAACAATAATGGTCCAAGCACTGAGCCTGGGGAACCCACGTAGACGTTGTCTAAATGGGATTTAGTGCCGCTAATGCTCACCGCTGTTTCCCGTCCTGTAACCACGCCCTAATCCATTTAAGGATGTCACCCCTTGATGCCATGAGCTTACCTTCTAATTAGTCTTTTCTAAATTCTGTCAAGGCTTTACGTAAAGTCGAGATTATACCACATCATAATTGTGTTCCTCCACCGATTCAAAACTGATGAAAAGAATGTTATAATAGATTAGTGCTTAGGCAAGAACGCCAGAAGCCATGCTGGGAATCATTGATCAGTCGGTGTTTTCTCCAGGTGATTTCGAATAGAGCTTGAAATGATTGTTTTCCAGTAATTTGCTCATTATTGATGTTAGACTGATATGTATAGAGGATAGTGATCTATCCCCTCTTGAAAATCGGTATTACATCTGCCATCCTCCAGGATTCTGGCATCACACCTGTTTTTAAGGACATGTTAAACAATCCTTTGCTAAGGGCATACTAAGCTTCCTTCCCAGCATTCCTTTAATACCCGGCAAATATCTCATCGGGACCAGGTGACTTCATTAGGGTTTTTAATTTTGTTCATTTGGTTTACTAACATCGCATTAGTCACCACAATATCTCACTTAATTTGTTTTCTTCACTATCTCTGAATAGAGTCGTGTGCCTCGGGTATCATAAGCGTAAATTTCGTGGTGAAAACTGTTGAAAATATTTATTCAAATTATTGGCTCATTTCTCCATCAGCACTGGCGTGAGCTCTCTCGCCGGAGTCTGGACCGTATTGGTCCAAATCTTTTCTCACAGTTTTTAGTCGATACATTTGGTAGAATCCTTTTGGGGTTTGTCTTCGCCTCCCTGCTATCCTTAATTTCATTATTCCTCTTGCTTCCTTATCCTCGGTTTTAAACCCTACTCGCCATCATCTCATAATAGTCCCTGAGTGAATTTCGCCAATGATTTATCCTTCTACCTATAGCCTTCCCACAATGATGTTCTTTTTAAATAATTATTTTATCCATTTAGGTCATTGTTGTCTGATCTGAGTTTTTGTATGGTATGTTCTGCCTTTGTGCATTGGAGTAACTCACTATTTAAATTGTCGTAACCTGCAATCTCAAAGATCTCAAGCATCAGGTCGATGTCATTCGTCAGGTTCACGGCCAAGCTGTATATCCCCCCATCAGCCAAGTTCTTTAAACTGTCAAAGTTTGCCCTTCTAAAATC